TAATTAATGCTTGCACTTATACATTTAGGGTTTCTAGTTTTCTCTTTGTTACAGTTATTCAAATCTTATATCCACCTACTTGCCATAAATTATATTATACTTATGTTAAATCATAGATAAAGCAGAATGATCGCTAGAGCAAAGTAGGCCAATATTTTGAATTCAAATTTTCAACACCACCACGTAGTTACGACAATTATACGTCTTTAACTTTCCAAAAAACAAACTCTATGAGTTGATTTTTTTAATAAATAATATAATTACGAAATGTGTATCTATGCATGGTAGTGATAAGGTATAGATATGAAGCTTTAATAAAATTGGTTTCTTTTTATTAGTAAAAATACATTGAAACACAACTGCACAATACCTAATAATTGATGTTAAACTAATTAATAATAATGACATTTGGTCTTAAATCCAATACAATGGGAATGTGATTTCAAATCCTAATAAAGTTTTCGTTTTGTTAAATAATTCAATTATTAAGATAAACCATCCAATCTTAAGGTTCTTAAAACTCACTTTTAGTGATCTAAATAATTGTTGATCAATGATTTTCAATGATGTCAAGATTGCATCAATTAGCAAAGCATAACACATTGACTTGAAAGCAGTTGGCCACATAAGTAGTTGATGACAAATAAATAAGTTTATCTTCTTTATAACAGCTAGGACTTTTAAATAAGGTGGTTTAATAAAGTGCCTATCTGATATAAATGTTTTAAATTTAAATCTTGTTACTATCCATTTATTAAAACTATATACGTGCCTAAAAAAAGTTAGTCGGCTCTCTAGTGGCTTTTACTTTCAAATGAGACAATTTAATTAGTTAACATGCGATCAATGGTTTAACAGAGTTGCTACATTGTACTAGTTTGAACAATATTGGAAAAGAAAAACTAAAGGGATCGTTTGGTTTGTATTTCGATTTTCAATTTTCAATTCATTTCCAGTCTTAGGTTTTCACACACACACACACACACACCCCTTAAAGTTGGTGAAACTTAAAATATTTTTTTGTCAATACAAAGTAAAATAAATAATAAATAATAAATTTGAGTTCAAATATATGAAATAGAAAATAAAAATAAAGACGTGAATTGAGAATTTTTTTTTATTTGTGTTCACTTAAATATTTTTTTAAAATTTTTTATGTAAATAATCATTAAGAGCTTGAGCTATTTTTATTTTTTGATAATTTATAACTTTTAAAGTTCTTTAAAATTTTTATTTTATATTTTTTAGAATTTTATTTTTTTAGAATATATCAATCTTATATTTTGAATTTTATTTTCTAAATTTTTTAAAAATTTATTTCCATATTTTATATTTATTTTTATAAAATTTTTAATTTTTAATTTTAATTAAATAAAATTTTATTAAAACTTTTGTTTTCCATGTTTTGAGTATTTTCAAAAGGTGTTTTAAGTTTTAAGTTATAAATTTAACTTTGTTTTTGATATGCATTTTGAAAAATACCAAACCAAACATGTTTTCAGCATTTTGAAAAACAAAAAATTGAAAATGGCAAACCAAGCACACCCTAGATTTTTTTAAGTTTACTTTCTATTCCTATCTAATAAGTGAAACATGTCCCATATATTAGTGTCAATAACTAATGGAAAATCAAGATGATGGAGGTTACTTTAGGCCAAAATAATGTTGTGGGGGGGTGGGACATGACTTGGTATGAATTAGGTCAAGTGGGATCTTAATTTGATGAATAAATGAAGTAAAGAGGCGGCATACCCATATGAAGAAGATGGAAAGTTCTTTCAACTCTTATTCTTGTGTCTATGGCCATATAGTCTTTTAACAGTCAATATGTTATACACGTTCGATCACTCTAAAGGTATTTGTGGTAATATCACATATTGTTTGGCCAAATGTTGAGCCATTGAATAAATTTTAAGGCGTCTTTCTACATCCAAGTAAATTGATCTTGTCCCTCTCCTTTTGAATGATTATTATTACTATTTTACTTTATAGTTTTTGATACGGTTAGGTACTTGTGAGTAGGGTTAAGATGATATTTGAATGTGTTTTTGTTTTCTTATCATTAGTTTATGGATGAATTATCGTAAGACAAGATAATTTTGGTCGTGTTTTTGTATGACATTGTAATGCTAACTAATTTCTTTATATTTATATGTGACTTGGATGTCAATAATATGATTCGAGCAAATTTGCCTACCTTGGAAGAGATCCGAGGCTAACAATTTTAAAAAGTTTTCAAATCCATTTAAAAAACATACGAGGCTTGACATCATATGCATACTCATATCCTTTTGTTCATGCCATCAGGACCAATAAATTTTTAACTTTTTTTTTTTCAATTAATTTTGTGCAACACTCTCTTTGTTAACCATTTTTACTACTTCCTTTCCATATATCATTTTAGACTTGTAGTAGATTCTATAAAACTTTTGGCTCTTTAAAATTTTATAGGGTCATTGAAAGTCATTAAAAAGTATGGGACATAAAATCGAGACTTTTTAAAAGTCATAAAAGGTTACTTGGTATTCAAAATATTACTAACTTTTATAAAATGCTTCGCACACTAATTTTAAGCAAAATATAAAAAAAATAAAATCTCATAAAAAATGTTTCTCAATCACCCTCAAGATTTTGAAAAACTTTTACCAAGAAAATAAAGGTCATTCGATCAATAAAAATTCTGCTCCCTCTTTGAATCTACGATCCCCAGAGCAATGATACAAAGAATCAATATCTATATATTTTCAACCTGTTAATATTGTTATCCTCGTTTTTTTTTTTTTTTTTTTTTTTTTTTTTTTTTTTTTTTTTTTTTTTTTTTTTTTTTTTTTTTTTTTTTTTTTTTTTTTTTTTTTTTGCTTTCTCTCTCTTCTTCTTCTTCTTCTTTTTTTTTTTTTTTATAATCATTTTCTCAAATTTTTTTATGAAAATAGATCAATTTGTAAATAAAACCGGATTTTTCTCTTTTGTCATTGTTTTCTCCAATTTTTCTATGGAACAAGGTCAAATTTTAAAATTTTTTTATGAAAATTATAAATTAATTTGTAAGTAAATAATTAAATATAAGTTATTTTTAATTTATATTAAATTTATTCAATTATACAAAAGTCATTCATTTCAAAAAAGACCTCTAAAAATCTTTAAGTCCAAATTGAATACTCTATACAGAATCCAGAGGGGTAGTTCAGTGTTCAGGTCTTGGTTTGCTCCCCAATTGTCACTAATTCGAGTATCCTCAGGGCTATTGAGATAAGTACCCGACTGTAAATTTCAGGGTTCCGTGAGATTAGTCGAAGTGTGAGTGCCCGGACACCCATGATCATAAAAAAATAATAAAAGATAAAAAAATAAATAAGTTTGAATACTCTATGCAAATGAGTGTCAAGTTCTCTCTATTGAAGTACCCCCCCCCCCCCCCCCCC